TTTTTTTTTTTTCTTTCCTTCCCTCCCATCTTTCTTACTAGTTTCCTGAGGCTTGGGTAGTCTTGTACTTCAGCCTTGCTTCTCTAATTTCTTTTCTCTATTTTTTCCTCTTAAAATTTTCTTCCCTTAATTACTTCTCATTTTTACTCTGTATAATTTCAGTTCTTATGGTATGTTGATATCTAACTTTTCTTCGGCAATAGTACTATAGCTGTTTCACTTGATATTAACAGGGTCACATAAATGTTGCTATTTCTATATAAGGGAACACTCAGATTGCCTTTACAAGAATATATGCCCAGAGAACTCGGTTGCTGGACTAACTACATTCTCCTTTCCCAAAATAATCATGGTGGCCAAATCTTGGAACCGGCAAAGGATTATAGTTGGCCTACACCCAAGGTACATCACTGAAAAGCAACTGAGGAGATCTCTGTAGTAGCAATAAAGTCATTAGACTATAAGCATCCATGAACTTTGTGCAAAACCAAACCAAAAAGTAAAACCTTGGGTAGAGAAGGCAACAGAATGCTCCCTCAACCCCCAACTCCTCTGAAGCCAATCAAGGGGGCAGAATAGTACAAGCCACACTCCTGAATTACTTGAAATAGCGAAGGAGGTTAGAAAACAGCTAAATGAGATACTCAGTGAAATTAGAAAAGATATAACTAAACATGTAATGGAACTAATAAAAAGATACAAGCACTCTCACAAGATAATGGTAAGTTACATAAGTTAAAATAATGTAAAACGAATGACCAGTTTAATAAAGAATTAGAGTCAATGAAAACATTCCAATAAGAAATCAGGAGATTAAAAATCACTCCGAAAGTATGGGCAGCAGGATGGACCAATGTGAGGATAAAATTTCAGAACTAGAAAGACAGTGATGCCTTCAAAGATCAACTACTCAGAGACACCTTAAAAACAGCAAGAGAAAATAATTGATCCAGCACTTGCTAGATGACTCAGACTAATTGTAATAACTGAAAAGAAATGGCATAAAACGTTCATTCACAGAAAATAATGGCTAGAAATTTCCCAAATAAAGGGAAAGAAACATATGGATAAGTGAGGCATATAGAACCTCAAACAGCCACAACCAAAAGAGAACCTCTCCATGCCACATTATACTCAGAATTCTAGAAGTCCGTCACAGGGACAAAATCTTAAAAGCTGTTACAGAAAAGCAACAATTCATAAAGGTAAATCCATTAAGAGCCAGAGCAGACTTCTCTACACAAACCTTAATGGCCAGGAGGGCTTGAAGTGTTTTAAGCCCTAAAAGGTAACTTCCAAGCCCAATTTATGTATCCTGCAAAACTTTCCTTTAAAATTAATGGAGAAATAAGGTATTTCCATAACAAGGAGCACCTTAAATTCATGTGACTATACCAGCATTACAAAAAAATTCTCAAGGATATCCTAGAAAGAAACAGGGCAACAATGTCAATGAGTCAGAAAGAATGAATACACCTGGTGGGATGAGCAGCTAAGCAAAGGTGTAAAACAAAATTAGCAATGAAAATAATGCAATGACAGGAATATGCCAATGCCTCTGATAACTCTACGTGAATGGTTTCAGTTCCCCAGTCAGACAGAATGGCAGAGTGGATCAAGAAAACCCAAAAATACATAGCATACAAGAAACATTTAATTCAAAAACATACCCACTGATTAAAAATCAAAGGAAGAGAAACAATATTTTGTGTAATGGAAACCCAGGAAAAAGCAGTTGTCCTAATTTCAGACAAAGTGGATTTCAAGCTGATTGATCATAAGAGGCAAAGGTTTACTACATATTAGTTGGAACAGTTCAACAGGAAAAGTTAACAGTTATAAACATACCCACTGAATACTAGTGCACTCAACTTTATATAGCAAAGAAAGATACACAGCAATACATTTGTCATGAGGAACCACAATAGTCCACTGTCACAATGGATAGATCAACTCAACAGGAAAATTACAAAGAAATAGCAGAATTGAACCAAACTTTTAAACAAAGGGATTTAATAGATATCTACAGAATGTTCCATCCAACAACAATATATATTCTCAGCAGCACATGGAACTTTTTCCAAACATAGTAGCCAGTAAAGCATACTTCAGTACAAGCAAAAGAATCAAAATTATCCCATTCATATCAGATCATTGTGCAATGAAACTAGAAGTCAGTGGCAAAACCCCCCACATTAGTCATGCAAACACATGGAAAATAATACTCTCAATGGGTCACAGATGAAATTGAGGTAGTTTTTATAATCAAACAATAATGCCTATGGGATGCAATGAAAGCAGTCCTTAGAGGGAAGTTCAGAGCAGTGAATTCTATCAGAAAAACAGAACAACCTCAAATAACTTAGTGATGCACCTCATGGTCCCAGAAGAACGAGAACAATCCAAACCCAAAGCTAATACAAGGAAGAAAATTACAAAAATCAGGGCAGAAATTAATAAAATTGAGACTTTAAAAAAATACAAAGAACCAGTGAATTGAAGAGTTAGTTGGTTCTTGATCTTGACAAAATAAAGACCCAAATCAATGCAGTTAGAAATGAGGTAAAAATCAGTGGATTCTGCTAAAATCCAAGATTATCAGAAACTACTTTGAGAACCTGTACTCAAGTAAAAAAACTCAGAGGAAATTGATAAAGTTCTAGAGATGTATGAGCTACCAACAAATTTTTCATATCATTTTCAATAATTTTGGTTTACATCAGGATATAGTAGCTAGGGAAGAAAGAGGCTGGGAGATAAAAATTATACCAGATGAGTTATTTAATAACAGACTGCATACAGCTGTTTCACAAAAGATGTATTTTCATGACTATCTACATTTTCATATTTAAAGAATATCATACAACTGATACCTTCTGAAATGTTTTATGGTTTTAAACTATTCACACACATCTGACATAGAATTAAAACAGTCAAATACCATGAAAATAGAAAGTGACCAGCCAGTGTAGGTAGGCTTCTCTTAAATTTGCCAATCAATGTTCATAATAGTTACTTTAATAATAAATTATTCATGCACAAATCAGTAGTAATTTTAAACAATTCATAAATAAGTGTGTTCTGTTCAATTTACACATTTAATATCCATGGATATCCAAGCTTGTACATTGTCAGATCTGCACATCAGATTATTAAATGATAAGCTTTCCCAAGGAAACTGGAGAAGCCTGAAATAATACCAGGAGGTTCTCTGGAGTTTTCAAAGCTCTGCCTGCTTTACAGAAGGAGGTTCCAATTTACGTGAAAGGACAGTTAAAATCTGGTTGAATTTCTCGTATCTCTCTGTCTGATTGACTTTTGCACCTTTGCTGCCCCATAGCAATCGCATTTGAAATTCAGTCTTGAAGATTTCACTCATTTCTTCATCTGGTTGGAAACCTTATCAAAATAAAATTCATAAGTTAACTTTAGTTGTGCCTAAAACATAGTGTTAAAAATAACCAAAAACTTGTTTTTTAATATAGGATCAAAATGAACTTCATCTGGTCTCAGAACTTTAGCCCCCACCCCCAAATGTAGGCTCTGCTCATCTACCCTCAAGAACCTAAACAGCTTCAGAGAAGAATTCACAAATAAACTCACTAAACACATGAAATCTCTGTGGAGGAAACACTATGGGTTGTAGTGCTGAGATGGAGCATTCATGGCACCTGGTTGGTTTGTAACTTTACTGTTGTGTAATTTATATGCAACAACTGTGTTAGCCATGCACTTTATGATGGTAAATTTGAATAGTTAATGATACTATATAGTTTTAAAATACATCATCTAGAAGGTTCCCTATTACCTCTTTTCAACCTATCATTCATTCTTCCCCAGACCCTAGCCAACCACTCATCTACTTTCTGTTGCTACTATATTGCCTTGTCTAGAAATTTGATATAAACGGAATCATACAATATGAACTTTTCTGTCAGGCTTCTTTCACTTAAAGTGTTTCTAAAGTTATTTTGTAGTGTCTTATGAATAATTCCTTGGAGTAGGAGTAGTAGTAGTAGTTATTTATAGTGGACATACCACATTTTGTATACCCTTTCACTAACTGATAGACATTTGGATTATTTCCAATTTCTGGCTACTATGAATTATATCAACATTTGTGTGACACTCTGTGTGTGGACATGTTTTCATTTTTGTAGGAACAGAGTTACTGGATCATATGGTAAATGTACACTTTTGAATAAACTGTGATAAGTTGGGCGTGGTGGTGCACACTTGTGATCTTAGAATTCTAGAAGGCTAAAGCAGGAGGATCACAAGCTTGAGCCTGCTCAGTCTAGCAAGATCCTATCTCAAAATTTTTTTGGTGGGTACCAGGGATCGAACTTGGGTTCTTGTGCTTGAGAGGCAGGCCAGCAAACCGCTGAGCTAAATCCCCGGCCCTGTCTCAAAATTTAAACAGGCTCTTGGAAATGTAATGAGGTGTGCAGGCCCTAGCTACAATTACCAAATTCCCAGTATGTGTGTGTGTGTGTGTGTGTGAGGCGGGGAGCGGTCATAAACTCTATTCCAAAACAGTTGTACAATTTTATATTCACACAGCACATGAAGATTATAGTTTCTGTATGTGCTGCCAACTTAGTCTTACCATTCTTTTAATTGTACCTTTTCTAGATTGTAGTACAACTGACGGTTGATTTACAATATTGAACCTTTTATGTATTTTGTCACTGTTATGTACATTCAAATCTTTTCTTATTGAATTATAAGAAATCTTTAATCTAGATGTCCTTTATCAGATACAACTGAGATTTTTCTCCTAGCATGTCTTACCTTTTTACTGTTAATGGTATGTTTTTAGTAATATGAGATCCCAGTTATTCTTTGTGATATATCCTGTACAATTGGGGTTTTGTTCAAGAGTTGTACCTATTCTATTTTTCAGAAGATTTAGCGTTTAATATTTAGATCTTTGATCCATTTTGATTTTATTTTAGTGCATGGTGAAAGATATGAGTCTAGTTTTAATCTTCAGTACATGGTCTTCCAGCCCCATTTATTAAAGAGGTTTTCTTCCATTGAAGGGTTTTTGGCTTCTCTGTTAAAGATAAGGCTGAGTGTGTTTGGAGTTGTTTCTGCAACTTCTAATCTGTTGCACTGATACTTGGGTATGAACTTTTCAGAGTAGTGTAGTTTTCACTGTAAAGGTATTTTACTTCCTTTGTTAGATTGATTCCTAGTTACTTCATTTTTTTGGATGCTACTGTGAAAGGTGGTGTTTCCCTAATTTCTCTCACAGTAAATTTGTTATTTGTGTATAGGAATGCTACTGATTTTTGAGTGCTGACTTTGTATCCAGCTACACTATGGAATTTGGTTATTAATTCTAGAAGTCTTAGTGGAGTTTTTGGGGTCTTCTACATGTAGAGCATCATGTCATCCCAAATAATAATAAACTTCTTCCTTTCTTATCCTTATTCCTTTTATTTTTTTTTCTCTTGTCTAATTGTTCTAGCTGTTTCCAGAACTATACTGAATAGCAGTGGTGACAATGGGGCCAGGGATTTAGCTCAGTGGTTCCGCTACCTGCCTCACAAGCACAAGGACCTCATTTCGATCCCCAGTACCAAAATTTAAAAAAAAAGTGACAACTGATATCCTTGTCTTGTGTTAATCGCTTGTTTTTAAGAGCAAAATTTTAAGCTTTTTATTTATCAGTGTTTTCTGTTGTGGTTCATGCTTGTGTGTCCAAAGAAATCTCTACCTAACTCCAGGACACAGTGATATGTTTTCTTATCATAGCTTTATTCTGTTCATTAGCTTTATTCTACATATTTTGGATCTATGATGTGGTTTAGATTATTATATATGGTACAAGGTAAGGGTTGAGGTGCCTTTTTTTGGGCATATAGATGCCCAGCAGTTTCAGCATCATCTGTTGAAAAAATTTTTTTATCCAGTGAATTATCTTGACACATTTGTCAAAAACCAGTTAGCACCCATTTGGGTAGGTCTGTTTCCTACTCTATTCTGGCCTACGTAAGGCTAGAGATGCCCAGGCAACTCTCTTAGAAGAGGGGTTGAGTTATCTAGCCACAGTTACATCACTCTCATCCTTTCTTATTGCTAGAGTAGTTTTATCCAGCCATTAAATGTACTCATACCATCTAGAACACTGGGTGGTACAAAGAACATATTCTTTCTTGAGGGTACCAGAATATCATTTATAAATAACCAACCAGAAACCAATGATTTCTCTGTATTCAGTTAACATGCATTGAGCCCCTTACCTTGTACTGGATGCTGTTGAACAAATCTCTTACTAGGTTTTCTAGTCACTGGGGATTTGCTATTATAAATTTGTGACAGGATCAAACGAAAAATTCTATCCACTACCTTTAAAGTGATTTGTGTATATGCATACTTTTCTCAAGTCCACCCAAATACAGTATTGGCTTATGCAACTTTCAGTGTGATGTACTTATTGACTTAATGTAAGTAAGCATTATAGTATCTGTTGAATTGTGTGCTTTTGTTCTGTGAGTTCCACACTGCCAAATCGAAAGACTTTTTGAGGAAAAAAAACAAAACGAAACAGGTGTGTCATACTTAAACTTAGAGCTGACACAGTACAAACTGCTCAGTCCCAAATTGGTGGTTCTGAGGCAATAGGTCTTTCTTGGTCCATGTAGTTCCTAACCTTATAAATCAAACTGTGGGTCCTTGAAGAATTTAAAAAATCATATAGAAAGAAGAGAACATAACATCGTCATCCCTGATGACCTTCGGGTAGCCCTCGTTTTAGCACTGGACTCCTAAATAGGCTTTCTGCCTATAAGCCCTCACCTCTCCAGTCTCCCACCCTCATTCCCTGCCCAGCATTCCTCCACACAATTGCCAGAGTGATGTACTTTAAAACATAAATCTAACTAGGTGGCATCCTCCTATTTAAATCCTTCCTGCACCACAGTCCTACAAGAAAAGCTATACCCCCTTTTTCTACCCTCTGAATGAAATTGCCATCCTTTTCCATCTGTTTTCTGGTGAATTACTTTTGTACTTTACAGCCATTGTAGAGATAGTTTTTTTTTCTGGAATTTATCCCCACACTCTGCCTCTCTGCCTGCATCTTTGACCAAGTCAGTTACTTTTCCTAAGTGTTTCCACTTAACCACCATTCACTGAAATACCCACTTAAGAGCCTCTGTGCACGTACCATGCCTGAGATAAATGTTTATTGAGCCAACTGAGGAAGATGTTTTCTGTTACTACCACAGTACTTATGAGAAAGTTCATTTTACACAACACTTTGCCCAGCACTTTCAAGGAAGCTCCAGATGCTGGGAGCAGGGGAGCTCACTTGCCAGTGTGGCTGGGAAGAAGAGGAACACAGGTAAGCAGCATCTAGATAAAACACCTTGTGTTAGCCTGCCACCTTTTCCAGTCCCACTTATTAGAGGTATAATGAGTACCTTCTTGACCCTGTATCTTTATTCACTGAAAACAGAACACAAGAAAGGAGAACTAGACACTTGAATCATTTGAAATTGATTCCATGATCGATCGTATGGGAAGTGGAATTCCAGAGTGTTTTTACTAATTGACAGCACCCATGTTCTTTCGTTGCACAGAGCAGATAGTGGCTTACAGAAAACAACTCTTACCTGCCAGGACCCTCTCAGCATTCATCCGGTAGCTGTCCGCAGCTTCTGCCATGCATCGGGCTGTTGTCAAGTGATTCAGCATAATTTCACAGCTTTGGTCATTTTTTTCCCACATGTCGGTTCCTTCAAAAGTGACAGCCTGGCGCTCCATCAAGGTCACAAGGGGCATCAGCAGTGGGACTGATACATTACTTGGGATAATCGTAGACTCTGAAGAACAAGAAATAAAATTTTCTTTGACATATTTTGTTGAAAGCTAATCACAGAGTGAGCTGCTGACTTGTGTTGGTTTATAGCAAATGCAAACCTACAAGAGATGCTATCACCTGGTGAAAGCCTTGATGAGCCAGCAACAGTCATGCAGACAACATAGGGCCTCCTGACACACTCGGTTAGGTGTCTTGACCAACAAGACGGAATACGCCCTACTGGGCTCAGACACTAGTGGAAAGCCAGTGGGCTCTGGCCTTACCCTCTTCTGCTCACCTCTGCCTTCGTGCAGCATTGTGCTGAACGGCTTCAGCTGTTTCTCGTAGAGGATGGCAGTTTGGGTATACTGGTGCCGCAGGGCAGTCCATGTCTTTTCTAACCTTAGGATCTGAAAGAAAGGTGTCATTTTAGAAAAGGCTTTTTGGGGTGTGTCGGTGTACACCTTTGTGCTTTTGTGTAAAGAGTGTATGTTCATAAGGGTGTGTGCGTGTGCATGTGCGTGTGTGTGTGCGTGTGTGTGTGTGTTGTTAAATTTCCGGATTGACTGTGGCACCTGGCTGTACAGTTATTTCCTCCAAAGCTGTTTGCCAGCTTCAGGAGTGAGTGAGAATTTCTTTTTTATGAAAAGGGATATACAGGCTCCGAGCTGATGCAGTATTTGTAATATGAAATTGACCTAACGTATTTGCATGAGTCCCAATTGCAGAGTGTTAAGCAGTTTTGTAATTTGACATGTAGGAATGTACCCTATTTATTCTCATGCTTAGTATACTGTACAAGACACTAGCTTTACTCTCTCTGCCATTTAAAGCAATATGTTAAGGGCATTCACTAACTGGGTGCCCTACATTTCTGGATGAGAAAACGCTCAATTTCAGGCCATGAGAAAACAAAACAAAATAAAAACAACTAACCAGCCTTCATTATTTTTCCTTTGTTTTAAAACTGGATTTTTAACAAAAGCAATAATTAAATCAGACCTCACTAAAAAAAAAAAAAAAAGGCTTTTTTAAAAAGTACCCTTCTAAAAAATTAATTAAAAAATAAAAATGAGATCTAAACCTAGCTGTGTCCAACCTGCCCCCCGCCAAAAAAAGTACCTTTCTGCTTAAGTTTTAGAATATGATAGGAGGAGCACATGGTGAAAATGTCAACAATAATTGAGAGTACAAAGAAAAATCCTCCACCTCACCCTATTCTGCATTGTTCTAATGGCTCATCCTAAGGACAACTCTTCAACTGCTTGTATGTGTGTGTGGACTCTTAAAAATAAATGCACGACACTTTTATGTTTCTTGCTTAGAAATTATGTCATAAGTACAGATGGAACAGCTTTGTGTTAAATTTTTGTATAATGTTGCACTCTAGGGATAAACCCATAGTTTAGTCTCCTGTAGATAAGGGCTTTAGACATTTTACTATTACAAAATTACCTTGTAAAGATTGTACAAATGTGTACATGAGTGAAAATATCTAGAGGACAAGTTACCAAAAAGGGAACTTCTGGCCCAAAGAGTACATATATTTTAAATGTTGATAGGTATTGCTGAGTGTCCAGTACTGAGGCTGTACTAATGTAACAGTATAGGAATGCTGATGCAAGCATTTTAATACCGCTTGTACATAGTGTGGAGAATAGCGCCTCAACCGTGTGATGCCAAAGCTCATTTCTTGTAATCTCTATGGAACAGAGTAGTCAACACCAGCATATGCCACTGACTCAAATGTCCTAAGATGAATGGTCCCCCCTTCACACCATAAAACCATCAAGCCTAAGGGTGTTTTAAGTTTTTTACAGAAAAGGCAGATAGGCACTGGCATTGCGGGAATGAGAGCCGACTCTACATGAGGTACCTCAAGAATGTCCTGTACTCTCACACTCCCCTATGAGGCAAGTATTTTGGTCTCATAGATCAAAACACAGAAAATTACTCATTTATCCTTTATGGCAGAATAGTATTCTGTTGTGTGTAAATACCACATTTTCTTTATCCATTTGTTAATATGTAGACTGCTCTCAAGATTTAGGTATTATGAATTACGCTGTTACAAAGATGGGGTATGCATGTATCACCGTAGTATGAAGACTAACTCTTGGGAAGATTCTTAGAAGAGGAATATAGTAGTTGGGTCAAATAGAATTTCTTGTTTCTAGTGTTTTGAGGTATCTCCATACTGATTTCCATAGTGGTTGTTTGCCATATAGTGTTTATAACACCACCCACAACGTAGAAGGGTTTCCTTTGACCAGCTTTGTTATTATTTGATTTCTTGATGATAGCCATTTTTTCTGGAGTAAGACAGAATCTCAGTGTTGTTTTAATTTGTACATCTCTAGTGACCAGAAATCTGAACATTTTTTCATGTACTTATTGGCCATCTGTGTGTCCCCTTTTGAGAAATGTCTATATATTTTAGTTGCTCATTTTATGATTATGTCTTGTATTTGGGGGTCTAATTTTTTTGAGTTCTTTGTATATTGTAGATATTAATGGTATACCTGATAAAATTTTTTCCCATTCTGTTTAGTGAAATAAATCAGACATATGATCTGGTTTCTTTTATATGAGGAACCCGAAGTGTAAATAAATCAAACAACAAAATAAAATTCAGTAGGAAATAGGGGGATAGATCTTTGGCAAATGTGAAGGGGCATAAGAGATGGAGAAGAAAGGAGCATAAAAGAAATTAAGATGTGTCATGTACATGTACCAACCACACAATAAATGTATTCATGATGTACTATAAATATGTACTTAAAAAACAATAGGAAAGATGAGGTAACTAGCCAAGAGTTTCCCAGCTGGCAAAGTGGCAGAGCTGGGACTCATTTCCTTGGCCTCTAACAGCCCTCTGTACTCCAAGAGGAAGAAAAGGAGGATCTGCTGTGGCTGATTTATTGCTAGTCTCCCTCTGGCCACTTGTGGCCTCTCCCCTCCTCCCTGAAGTGCTGCCTTTTTGACGGAACCCTAAGTCTGGGGGAAACTACTCTCCTGGATGTGGCAGGAGGGCAGGTTTAGAGGATGTGAGAATGAAATGACTCTCCTGTTCGGTTTTCTCTCGTATGCCACTTCTTCCCCCAGCAGCATCCTGAACACTCTGGAGGACTGCGTCCCCTCACTATTGAGGGGCTCCAGGAATACAAGATCTGATACTGCTAAAGGGGAACAAACATCCACTAAGGTTGAGGTGATTTGGGATAAGTCCTTAACAGGAGAGTTTAATGTCATGTACAATGACCATATGATTCCATGAAACAACCCTTTTACCATGCTCAGAGCCAGCTCTGGCTGGACAGCTTTCCCACCAAATTGTAGGCAGTTTTGGATAATGGAAAATGAATATGATGCAAATTTAAACACCTGAATGAAAAATTATGCTAAGATATTTTTACACTACAAATAAGTATATCATGGATGAGAAATTGAAAAAATGGAAATAAAGTGTTTGTAAATGCGGAGGGGAGGAGAGGGTGAAGGGAGGGCAGGGACAAGGGGAAAAAATGAGAATCAAGACCTATTATGTAAAGGTACAGGATCCCAATAATGAATGTAACTGTATTGTATACCTAGATTGTACCAATGAACTCAATAAAAAGAAAAAAAAAAGTGTCCAGAAGAACCAAAATGTTATAATGACTTGATATCTACTCACTACCATAGTTTTGTGTATTTATAAATAAGTTATTTAAAAAAAAACAAATAAGTATATCATGGAATTGTGGTAATTTATGGATTGCATATTTCAAGTATTTACCCTACAAAATTTCCGAGCATCTGAAGAATGTGAAAGCTCATGAAATATTATATTTGGAAATGACGCCTCCCCCCTTCAAACCACACACCCCTCAAACCTCTGATGAAGTTATTCAGCTTATTTTTAAGGGGGCCTTGCTTTAATTAAGGAACTTACACTGCTATCGTGCTCTGACTTGCAAGAATGTGATCGCAGCTGTATCTCTCAGTTGCAACAATGGATTTTCAGTAAGTACCTGGCATGATTTCAGAGACAAATCTGCGTCTATGAAAGAACCAAGCTAAATGACCAGCAGCTTTGTATTACCACTTGCAAGTTAGGCTTGTCAGTGTGTAATCTCATAGGCAAGGTCCTCCAAGCACCTAGGGCTTGGAAAAATGAAACAGGAAAGCCAATTGTGAACCATAAAGACAGCCGGTGACTTTCCTCTAAAAAGCCTGTCTGGAGCCGGGCGTGGTAGCGCACACCTTTAATCCCAGCACTCGGGAGGCTGAGGCAGGAGGATCACTGTGAGTTGAGACCAGCCTGGGCTACATAGCGAGTTCCAGATCAGTCTCAAGCCTGTTTGATTTCAAGTACAGGTTTTCATGTTTGACACTCATCCAAAAAATCCTGCCAATGTAAATGAATTCAAATGTCTGATTTTAGGAATTCTAATTAGGGAGTTATAATGGCAGGTGAGCCAAGAATCTGTTTTTAACAGATGAGTCTTTTGGGTGACTTGCCTACCGTACTTTGAGAAACCACCCTTGGGATTCTCTGGTAGAAGCTCCCCCGATGGCTTGACTGCCTTGTCGTTACTCCAAACAGGCCGCACACTTGGCGACCCAGCTGACAGCAGGTACTGATACACAACATGTGAGCCAAATGTCTCATGCTAGTTAGTTCTCTAGGAAAAGGGAATGTTTTGATGCACAATAATAGGAGTTATCTTGGCAAAGTGTGTGAACTACTAGTAATTATGCACTGTTTTTATAAACAGAGGTGAAATACTTAGGACACTGCTTTTAGTTGCTCCCTAATCAAATTAGCTTTCAGTAAGATTCAGTTTATCTTTAAATATCGACAGAATTGTCTGATTTGCCAAGCATGGCTGTATGGACTTCTTTGAGGGGCCTCACAAAGCAAATGGACATATACCTGTGGCATTTCCAGGGCTTTCATGATGGCTGAGAAAGAATAGAGGTCCCCCATGGAATCTTTCAGTTCCACTGCCACCTGGATGATCCTGTTGAGGGTGGCTGCTCGGTCCTCCAAAGTGCTTGTGCAGCCCAGAATGTCCACTGCAGTACCAATGGCCATTGTGTGGTGTCTGAAAGGAAGGAGGTCAGCGGTCAGGTTCAGCTTCATGGGACTAAATATAACATCACATCAGCCAGGACTGTTTTTGCAACATTAACTGCTATTTCTGTGAAATATGCTGGCAGGTCAGACATTTTGGAGAGCCAATCTCAACATACCCAAGCAGGTGGACTCTGCCAGGACCCTCCCTGGTCACTACACAGAAGCTGCAATATGGTAAAAAAGCAAGATGGCCAAACAGGCCAGGTTTAACTCTGGGCTTGGAGGCATGAAGATCTCCTGGGTCAAAGGGGCGCAAGAGTACGTGGCTCCTTTATCCTTCACCAATGGGAGGTCCAAGGAAATATACACCAGGTTCCCCCCAACACACACACACACACACACACACACACTACCATCCTGTCAAAGCTGGGGCCACCTCCAATAAGACCCCCAGACTAGGGAACAGAAAGGACAAAAAAAGCGAAAAGATAAACAGTACTTAACCCTCGAAGATTACCCAGGTATCAGAAAAAGGGAGGAAAGGAACTAAGAATGTGTTCTGCAACCCCAATCAAGATGCCACAAAGTAAATGGAGATGGGAACAAAGACTGAATAGCTGGTGAGAAGGAATTTATTTGCCTATAAGATCGGTGCCTAATAAAATAAAATTTTTCCCTTAGCAATTCTCCCACCCTGAACTATTTGGGTCAAACTCACAGATTCAGAGCAAGATGCAGGGTGATCTTTTCTCTACATAACAAAAGGTCCATTATGAGCAGGGTCAGTCAGTGACAGGAAACACAGATTGACCCCCTCTCCTTCCCTCTGTAAATCTGGACCCAGGAGTTTATTACATTGGCCAGAACTGCCTTGGTTGAATTTTTCCAGGGTGTAGTATAAATGCTGGGAGGTGAATCCCCAATTCCTAGCTGTCGTTAGTAAAACAAAATGTGCCTAGCCGGGCATGGTGGGGCACGACTGTAATCCCAGCACTCGGAGGCTGAGACGGGAGGATTGCTGTGAGGTTGAGACCAGCCTGGGCTACACAGTGAGTTCCTGGTCAGTCTCAACTACATAGTGAGACCCTGTCTTGAAACAAAACAAAACAAATAAACAAAAAACCAAAATGTGCCTATGAAGCTCTGGGATCACACAGTCTTCAATTTCTCAGCATGGGATAGGATGTCACTCCATGCCCTGCTTTGTGCCCAGGTGTGCTGCTCTACTGTTCACCCTCCCTAAACAAAGGGGAGCAATGATTTAGTCAGTCTCCAGCATTACTTATTTCTCCAGTGTTTTTCAAAAAAGTAATGAGTTCTGCCGTCTCTAAGTGTATGTGCACATAAATGTGCATGGTGCTTGCTTGCAGCATGATTTGAAACTGGTACCTAAACTGCTCTGCTCAGTTTCTTCACCTGTAAAATGGGAGGAAGTATGAGAAAAGCTTGTGTGTAGTTTAATAACAGTTTGTGTTATCATAATTACCTCTATTAGTATGTCTGTCTCTCTGTGTCTTGGCTCATTTTTCCTGTTTGTCTCTTTCCTTTTCCTCAGTGTATCTCTTTTTTCTGATTTCATGTTTTTCTCAATGAATCCAAACATAGATCTGTTGAAGACTTCTGTAACCTTTTACAGAGTATTTAACACATTTAGATGTCTTTTTTTGTTTGTTTGTTTTGGTATTGGGGATCAAATTCAGGTCCTTGTTAGGCAGGCGGTGGAACCAGTGAGCTAAATCCCTGGCCTTAGATGTCTTTAATAACAGTAAACTAACTTTCAATGCCAACTCATTCTTTTCATCCCTGCTTTGGTTTTGGTACTGGGGATTGAACTCAGGACCTTGTGCTAGTGAGGCACATCCAACGCCACTGAGCCGCATCCACAGCCCTCATCCCTGTTTTAATGGGCCTCGATAAAAGACATGCTCTCCTTCTTTAAGACCTGGTGCTATATCGGTGGTTAGCTGGGTAATTAATCCATTAATTCACCCAACATTAGTGCAGGACCTCCTGAGTCTACCACTGGAGTGAATGAGTCAGGATGGTGCGTCTAGCATTCATGACAACGGGTCAGCAGTAGGAGGCACTCAAATGTTACACAAAGGCCATCTCCAGCTCGGTGTGCCCCTAAGTGAGGTAGTATATAAGAAATCCTAGGTAGTTTTGAATCTGATCTTCAGAGGCAAGGTGTCACTGGGCTGTTCAGAAGCCCACAAATCTGGCCTTTATTTAACTAAAACACTAATTAAACCACTTCCTGGCTCCCTAGCAGACCCCACAAGTCAGCTTGGACAAGAGAGGCTAAGGAGTGAGACCTCAAGCAGCAGCAATCTGGAGAAAAATAAATGGATGCTGACAAGAGTGAATCTCAGAACTGCCCAAAGTCCCAAACCTGCTTGCGGCAGCCTAGGCCCACAACTCATGCCCCAGCACCCCTAATGATACCGATAAAATGCGGCTCAGATTCACGAGGTCTGAAGTCTGGGTAGCTTTCAGGCTGGAAAGTATCACAGGAGAATGGGGAAGTGCAACAGTGCCCGCTTGGCCCTCACAACAGAGAGGAAGTCAGTGGAACTGAGCAGCCAAGCCTCTGGGCTCGAGGAGAGAGGAAGGTAGAATCCGGAAAAGAGGGCAATTCAGAAGTGGGATCTGTACTTCCTCAAATCCTTAAACTATGGACACGCCCGGCTAAAGTCTGCATGGGCCTCTCAAGTCCTTCCTCCACATCTTCAACTCAACATTCGGGCTGTTTTCTATGGGATACATCTGGGGCTGCAAGGCCAACCCAACAGTGGTGCTGGAGTTGTCTTACTAGATTTATAGCCAGGTAACCTTGAAAGCAGCTGTATCAATCCCCAGAAGGTTACCTGAAATGGACTGTTCACTTCCTAGGGGGCTGACATCTGCCAGCCACATGTGGCTATCTACACTTCAAGTAGTAAGTAATACACATTTTCATTGCTTAGTGTCAGCAGCCATGTTTCAGGTACCCAGTACCTACAGGTGGTAGTGGTTCACATAATGGCCAGTGCAGATATTTGAAGTGTACAGGGCTGTGACCAAGAGCATCATGGAAAGCAGTGGGTAAGTAGTCATGGCGCCTGTGGTATTTGTTGTATAAACAGAAAATTTAAGATAAGACAGTCTTGCCCAAGTCAGGTTTTTTTAATGTGTCAAAAAGCCTGACTTTTGAGGTAAATAGGGAAATCTACTCTTACACTTCTTTTCCTAAAAACATGCCTCACTGTGCATGTCTTAATTTCTAAAGACCCATATTCATGCATGTGCATTCTAGTGGGCACTCAGGACCCTTTTCATGAGAAGATAGAGCCACTTTGGAGAAGAGATACTTTGGAGGCCCAGGGGCTGAGTGCCATCATACTCTGACCCTGACCTCCTCTTGTTCACCCCTCACAGAAAATGTTCAGAATTTATTCTTCTCAACACCTACCAATTCCCACCATATTCCCCAAGCAACCTCAGACTCCGGAGACAAAGGCACCACAGCTTCTGAGGCGAAGCTGGAGGACATGGAGGAGCAGGAAGATGTCTCTGTAGCTCGGCTGGATGTGTAATGCCTGTGGCCCAAGCACAGGGCTCTTCTCTCCATCCACCCACTCTGGGAACAGGGCCACGAAGGTGTTCTTTGTGCCTGACTTGGGCTGTATGGTCTCTCTGTGCACCTCCAGGAAGTCTCAGCCAGCCTTTGGAGAAGGCCACATGACTCCGAAGAAGGCAGGGCTAGCGCTGCGCTGCTCCTTCCATCATCTGAAACCTGCGAGGAGTTAAAGAGGGTGGGAAACGCAGAGGATGGCGCTGCTCACCTTTCGATTATGTCCAGGCGTAGCTGGTGTCCATGAGGCAAGGTGATGAGCTCCAACCCTGAGCTCACGCCCATGTTCCTTCTCATCTCTTCGGAGACCTCAAGTATCCTAGCAACCTGCCAGGAGTGAAGTTGAGACTCACTAGATCAGGAAGTGGGCTAGCCATATCACAGATTCAGTCTGAAAAGCAGCACACTAGACTGGGATGCACTTTACTTGTATCTCTTTATGAGCTGCAGCACCCACAAGTATGGTTCTTACATGATATCTGTGACATTTTAATACGTATACTAGCAAATAAAATTCAGAGGGGAAGCAAAGACTGGGGGAACATCATCTAAACTGTTCTGCAGAATCTGCAGATCTGCTGTGTTGCCGCCCAGCCAGAGAACACTTTAGGCCACTGAGCTTTTGTCTGATACAGGCGAGATCCTGCTGCGATGTTCTGCTGCCAACAGCAGGACTGTGTGTTTGTGCAGAGCTGCCATCCCCTGCAGTGGAGAAGCAGAATCCTGTCCAAGCTCCCCTCTGCTGTGGGCTTTGCCATGCATGTTCTCACTTAACAGCCATGGCTGGCTGCTATTACCCTTAATTACGTCTCTCGGGTGCAGTAAATGCACTCTATGTCTGGAAACTATTAAAAACATGTATAGTGATTTGAAACCCAATGTCTCAAACATATCCCAGCTCTTCCTAAAAGGTTTTCCTTAAAGGAAATCTTTGCCCAAGCCCACTGCCATCCTTTCTCAATTCTAGTATGTAATCACAATTTATTGAACTCGGGCACTGGTTGGCCATTTATAGTAATTACATGTTACACTGAGATGTTACAACTGTATCAGTGCATCTTGTAACAACTCTTCACTACACGCTGATGTAATGGTATGGGACAATTCCTCTCTTCTATCTGTGGACTTGCCCTTGACCATAATTATCCTAGGCATGTGAGCAGTGCCAATATCTTCATAACAGGCCACAAAAAACATCTGGAAATTTGGCCGATATTATTACCTTGACCCTTAACTTCTGTGGTTGAGCAAAGGAACCACCAGTATCCCTGGGGATAAGGCTGTGGAATTAGCTGCCTAGTGGTAAACCCGAGAATAGGATGAGGAATTCATAATGTGCTCTCACTTCTGTTCTTCAGGCCTCAGTTTCCCTTGTTAAACACAACTGGTAAGTTAGTTCGCCTTTCTCAAGGTCTGGGAAAAAGATTCAAATGAACTTATGGTCCCCAAAAGCTATTGGAATGTATAAGTTGTGAATCAATGGTCATATCAAAATGGGAAGAATTCTGGCTGGATCTCAGAAAAGAGATTTACATCTTGACCTGGCAAGGCAACCTTGATACACTCGCCACATAATTTCTCACTTGTTTAGACAGCTGTCCCATCAGAGGCTCCAAACCCCATGCCTCTGGGGTGCCCTCCAAACCACACACACTCTGTAATGAGACTGAAAGGCTTGCCAGTGATTCCATTTGGCTCTGGAAGTGCTAGCAGGCATTCTGAGATCCCTACTCTGAGAACGAGAGCCCTCTCCTCTGTCTTTGGGTAAATAAGCCATCCCTAGTTCCTTTCTTAAGACCACTCTGGAGTACCCTGGCTGAGCTCCAGCACAAGAGAGTCTTGAGTCAGCACTAAGTCCTAAACTAGGTTCCCAAATGAAGAGGAAAACCCTTTTATAGTACAGAGGGTCCCTGCTGGACCCAGCAGGGCAGCATAAACGCCTCATGCACCAGCCTCCCTCTGCCCTTCTCGCTTTAGCTATCCTACCCCTGTCAGATTGGGAACTCTGTTCATTCCTCCTCGTCCTACCACCTTGGAGCTGCTGCGGTGACACAGGGAGGCGTCACGGAACCTGAGCTGGTTGTCCTCCCAGCTGCCATGGACCTTCTAAAACGCAACAAGATTGCCAGGCTCTGTTCACTGGCTGCGCTATCCCCCTGTCCCCCCGGTGCAGAGGACCCAAACCCACACCTATACACTCATGGGTGTGTCTTCCTTATACGCCAGTGAAGCGTTTTGAAGGCAGGAACCTGGTAGGAGCCCAGAAGTCAAGACTGAGAATAACTACAGAGAAGACCCACCAGGCCCTCCCCTCCCTACCCCACCCCACCTTCTTTAACCAAATTTTCTTCAGTTAACAGATTTAGGCTGCAATTTCAAGTGAACACTTTCTAAATAGCCTCTCTCCCCATGGCTTCTGTTCTCCAAGTCCCTGCAAATGTGCCTTCCTGCACCATGCATTTTGCATTCATCTGGCAATTTCTCAGCTTTCCAAACTCATCTCGACCATCCCTATCTCTAGACCCTCAGCCCTAGTTTGAGGTCCTGCCCAGCAAGCCCCCAACTCCTAAGCCTTCCCTGCAGAATGCTTCCCTCCTGGCTGTGGTTCAAGTTGCTATGTCACTGCCCTTTCCCATCTTGCCCCTGCCGGCTGCCCTGGCATACAGTAGGTGCTCAATCAATGTTGAATACGTAACACTAATAAACACTCTGGACCAGGCAACGTGCCCAGGGCTTTACATTATTTCAATTTTCTCTGACCACCTGGGTATAGAGGAGGAGAGAAAGAACCATGCAGAGGTGAGATTCAAACTCAGTTCACACTCAGAGGCAGATTCTTCACTTTCGGGCCTCACTTCCAGGGGCAAAGACACACAGGTGAGAGAATGGCTGTGTACCAGACACGGTGAGACAAGGGCAGTGCAGTACCCACTTTGGAGTGGTGAGGGGCCCTGGGAAGTGGGCACTGGACATTGCTGGGCACGTGGCCTCCATGGTACTCAGGCCTCCTGATGGCTTTCTGGGTGTCAGTCCCTGGGCTGTGTGCACTGACGGAAAACAGCATGTGGGCCCCAGATGCTGCCCAGTGCCTGCTCTTGGCTCAATGGGTGGCCCTGTCTGGCTGCCACCACATTTGGGGGTGGGGAACAATTTCCTTCTTAGAGACACTGTTTGTGCCTGGTGGTTCTAGGAAGAGAACAAGGAAACAAGTGGAAAAGGAAAGAAGAGGACTGATAATAGCTCTGCCACAGGGCTGGGGCAGGGGGTGGGGGACAGAGACCAGACCAGCTCCTCAATGTCCAGCCCCTCAGTGACTCCATGTAGCTGCTGTTGTGGAGTGCTCGAAGGCAGACATGGCAATGGGCTCCACCAAGAGGACAAAATGCACTACAGCAAGTAAGAAGGAAGACCCACACGTTTCTCAGTTGAGAATAAACTCAGGTCCTAGTTCCCTGGATGTCAAAGGTGGGAAGATTCCAGATGTCGTGCAAAGTAGTGGGCAGGCATCTCCCCTTCCTCCTCCTATCATCAAGTCCCAAGGGCACAGCATTCAATCCCTCTGGGAGGTAAGCTGTTCTGTCAACCCGAGCCCATGTTTCTACAAGGAGCTTCCTCTGCGGAGAACCCAGCAGGTGCATGCAGGCTAGACTCTCACTCCTGCTGGCATGGTTCTGCTCGCAGATCAAGGGCTCAGTGGGACTGACATGTGGGACAGAAATCCTCAGTTCTCCCACCTCCAAACAGGTTTAAATTACCTGCAAATTACTGCAAATTACCTGGCCATGTGGCGTCAACAAGGCTTATTTTTCTAGAGCAGCCCTTCCTGGTTCTGTCCTCGGGGCTTCCCTAGCACAGGGACTCCCTGCCCATCCAGCCAGCACAGACCACCTCCCACGCTTGAGCGGTGTGGATCACTGGTTACTGAGGTCTCCTTCAAGGGCCAGGACAACCAGGAATGACTTGTTCTTTAAGGCTGTTTCAGGAGCCCTTAATGTACTTCAGAACTCCCTGGAGGAGTGCTCAGAGACTAGATTTTCAGCCATGATTCCTGACTCAAGAAGGAAAATCCAGTTCTTAAATAAATCCTGACATTTGAAAATGACTTCCCTGAGCTATGAATGAAAAAGGGCTTCACATGAGAAAGGGGCTTTAACTCTCACCCTGGCCTCATCTATCAAACAAATGACCAGAGATCGGCTGCTTTATACTGAGGTGGGCTGAACTGAGCCCAGTCCAGCCCAGCCCAGCCCAAGACACCTGTTGTTGAGAAACATCTCTCTGAAGGAAAAGGGTACGTTGAGACCTCCTATGTGGAAAAGCCCTTGCACTTGAAAGAAATGATTCCTATCAAAAACTATGCTGATATAAGCAGCTGTATTTAGTCAAAGAACAGTTACGATATGATGTACAATGAAGGACTCTGGGTTTGGATTAGTATGAATAGACCAGTGCCATTTGCATTCAAACAAACATCAAGCAGCCAGGTATGGTGGTGCACAGCTGTAATCCTAGTTGTTCAGAAGGCTGAGGCAGGAGGATCACAAGCTGGAGCCAGCATAGGCAACTTAAGGGGACCTTGTCTCAAAAATAAGGGGTGGTAAAGTGCTTACCTGGTATGATCAAGGCCTGAGTTCAATCCCCAAAACAGTAAACAAAATAAAGCAAAAGGCTCTTTGTACATTGTTTATGTCTCCATTCAAAGAGCAAATGATAAAGTAACACCAAGCACTATCAATGGTTATCACCAGGAAACTGGATTTTGTATGATTTTAACTCTCTCTATATCAAACAATTATTGTAAAAAAAAAAAGTTTTTTTATTTTACTTTTTGAGAGAGTCTTGTTATGCTGCCCAGGTAGGTCTCAAACTCCTGAGTGCTGAAACTACATGTGCAGGCCATTGTACCTATTGAAAATCAAAGTAAAAATGCTTATTGATAGATAAGGTATACAGTTTAATAGTACATCACTGGTCTAATGTGTGAGGTCCTATGTTCAATGCTCAAAAAATTGTTTATTTTTTTGAGACAAAGCCTCACTTGCTGCCCGGGCTGGCCTTAAACTTGTGATCCTCCTGCCTCAGTGAGTGCTGGGATTATAGGCATGCATCACCATGCCCAGCGAGTTTATTTGAGATATTATTTCAGTAACAAAATATATAGAATATATAACAAAATAAAAATAATCAGGGATCTGTTATTCCAGAAATTACATTTTCCTCTCAATCCATTGTGCTTTAGCCTTCCCAGTCCTGATGAGGTAGAGCCCAGGGGAGAATTTAAACACCAAGTTGCAGAAACGTGGATTCTACAACTCCTGTCACTAGCAAGGGTGGATGGGCCTTGCCCTCTTTCTGTCCAAGTGAAGTTTATAAGCTTCCTGCCTGGCCAAAGGTTGTCTGGTCTGTGGTTCCCACCCCATAAGTAAATCCCCACACCCCTCTTATCTTCAGACATTTCTTAGGAGCAAAGCATTTGACCAGCAGAGAGTGAGGCCAGAAAAGCTCCCTTACAAACCTTCTGAAAGGCAGGAGAAGCTCGGCTGCTGGGCTCACACTTACCTTGCAATCCATGCTCAGCATGTGCTGGGCGATGATCTTGGGGTCGCTGTTAATGAACAGTTCTTTCGCCCGTTTCAGCATAGCTGTGTCCAGCGGTTTGTTCTCTGCAGGAAAGAGCTTTGACTGAAAGTCATCGGGCCTGAACGAGGACACAGTCTCCAGGAGGGGCCTCACAAACTTGCACTTGTCCTCCTGCCTCTCATCCATCTGTGCTGCTGGCAGTTCCCAAGGTCTGGTCCCACTGTCCCCGTCAAGAATCAAGTAGCTCGTGCCAGAGTTCCGGGGACCTGCTGCCCCATTCCACCTGGCTGTTAGCAGTTCTGCATGGCTTCCCTGGGCACACGAGGGCAGCTTTGTTCCTCTGTCACAGCCTGCACCAGAGGCTGGGTTCAGTTCACAGTAGTTGGCCTCCAAGTTGAGCCAGGCAGCTGGAGGGGCAGGAGCGTTGAGGAAGGGCACCTTGCAGGGCTTGGGGGGTGGTTTGGGACACAGCTGGCTGTCTGATCCTCGCAGCGCCTCACCTGCCTTTGTGTCCGAGGAGACCCTGCGAATGACCCCTGGGCTCAATGTGGGCTCACTGCCTGTCCTGAAAACAGGTGAGTTTGGGCAGGGGTTTGAGTCCATACTCGGTGATGGAGGGGGCAGCTTACAGCCTGTGAGGAGAAAATAAGGTCAGAGAACACTCAGCCGTGTAGAGAATAGGAAACAAACAAAACTAGAGTGACAGCTCCCCAGCCCTTGCTCCATGACCTGGGGTTTCAATTTCCATTTCTCTAATTCAGTTGCAAGCCTAGTCTAGAGCAGTCTAGAACAGTGTGAGGGCTAGGCTGGCATCCCCCACATTTCTGGGGCAACTTGAAATTCCAGGGACTGGCTGCTAACAGCCCCAACATCATGTTATGGGCTCAGAGGTTAGAACAGGAAAACGCACTGAGCTCGGAGGTCAGTGCTTATACAATCCCGACTGAAGAAACATATGTCTTTAGCTATATAGAGGCAAGGGCCCTGAGTTACTCTTGAAGCCAGGGTGGAATGGGAGAGCTAGAGGCACGGGGAGAGAATCAAAGATACTGAGGTAACCCAGGAGAAAAGAGGTCTTTGGACAGCTGCTCCAACCAGGATCCCTAGGGTCAACACACCCACACTCTGCCCAGGGAGAGGACTAAGGGAGTCAGCTCATTTGTCATGAAGACCACCAGTTGTAGAATGGACTTAGAATCAGAAAACCTGGCTTCAAGCTGCATGCAGTGGCTTGCGCCTGTAATCCCAGCTACTCAGAAGGCTGAGGAAGAAGGATCATGTGAACCAGGAGTTCAAGACCAGCCTGGGAACATGGTGAAACTCCATTAAAAAAAAACAAACCCTAGCTTTAAATGCTAGACAACTCTGGACAAATTACTTCTCTTGCCTCAGTTTCCTCAGATGTAAAATAGGGATAAATGCATCTACCTTGAAGGCCTGAACTTAAAAAGCATCCAGCTCAGTGCTTCATAACCCTCTGTAGTCTCTCCTATGCTACAGGCATGGAGCCTTGGCTAGGCGACTAGAAGGAACAGGGGAACAGCCTGAAGATGGCAGGGTTACACTGCTGCCCTCTTCCCTGAAAACCCCCAAAGACATACCGATTGGCAGGTGACTTTCTGACTGATGGGCTTTGAGGGCCGCGGTCCTCCTGTCCTGCGTGTGATCCAGGCAGGCTGGCTGGCTTCCGCTCTTCTCTCTGTTCCTGAAGCCAAAGAAAAATGGGGCAGAAACATGTCATTAAGTTATAAAACCTTTAGGAAACGTCATGGAAATTAAAAAAAAAAATTGCTGAAAATGGGAGCATTCCACACACCCTAATGGTAAAGGAATGTCCAGGGAGGAGGAATTACTACTGATAGGGTGATTATTACAAATACGACTGCCGAGTGCACCATCCCATGTCCCCAAGGCAGCTAAGTCCTAGGATGCCTCCTCTGAGCCCTTCCATCCCACTGAACGGAGCAGGGTAAAAGTTTCATGGTACTCCAGGGAAAATCTGATGAACTGGAATGCGTACTTTTAGCAGAGCCTAAAATTACTTTCAGACTCTGGGGGAATGACTTGTTTAACTAACATGCGTTTTCCACAGTGCTTCAGTGTGGGCTGGAAGGAAGCTACGAGCACTTTCCATTTCACTGCATATCTCAGCTTTCCCCCAAGAAATCTGCAGGGCTGCTTGGGGAGGTGGTTGCACCCATCCTTCCGGCTGTCTGGGGTGGGTGTGGGGACACACAGAGCTCTTTTTCCTACGGGAGGAGGGGGAGCCATTAGCACGGTCACTGAGAAGCAGCCAGGAGGCACAGAGGAAAGGTTACTTTTAAAACATTAGCTTTCAATGCTTCTGTCCTTTTCTGAGTCAAACTGGAAATTTCTCTAATTAGCACCAAACAGTGGAGACTCTATTATTAGAGGAAAGAGGCACTGCACCAGCCAAGGTGGAATGAACATTAGCTGGCCCTCCCATCAGCGTAAACACTTACAGTACAGAAACTTCAAAGTTCTCTCCTACCTTGGCAAGCATCAGACAAATAAACAAAAAACCCCAAACTCCCAGCAACAGAGAAAGTCCAGAGCCCTTCCGAGATAAGGCAAGTCAAAGGGCAAATTCCAAAGGAAACTGCTCTGAGAAGTGATATTTAAGCAGAATCCACAGTGATCCGTTGGTCAGACTCCAGGCAGAAAGCAACCTGCCTGAGCTGGTACACCTTTGCCTGGGGCATCCGGCCTGCTGCCAGCCAACCAGCAGGCGCCACGTCAAATGGGCCAAAGCTGACGTGGGGAGCCACTGAAGGGCAGCAGGGCAGGGTGACAGACCATCGGCCACCTTTCCTGTCTAGCCTGGCCACCCCTGACTTTATTCTGTGCAGGGCCTGCTGCCTGGGGGACTCAGTACCGGAGGCTCTGCATTCCAAAAGACAATCTTAGAAAGCGGCTCTGTTAGGCTTGCTCCTCAATTTAGACGCTTTCTTTCCTTTCTTATCTTAAAAAAAAAAAAAGGATTAAAACGAGTATCAGAGCGGACAGGGAGGCTCCTCCCAGTGACCTCTTGAACACTGCTGCTGCTATGTAACATTAACTCTCTGCTTCAGTGGCTCAGCCGCCAATGCCTACTTCCAAAGGGACCATAAGAAGGGCACTTCCTTTCTTACCCCTGCTCCCTTCTCAGTCAGCCCCTCCTGCCCCTGCCTCCTCACTGAATATCACTGATGGCGCTGCCCAAGGGCCACAGAAGCTGGCGTGGAGGGACAGGTGAACAAAAGGAGTTGACAAAAAGTCAAATAGCAAATGAACAGATAAATAAAATCAATAAATACCCGAATAATAAAAAACAAGAAAGGGGACCCCTTTTACATTTTAAGGGAATCTCCAGCTCAACCTTACTGATAAAGTGAAGATTTCTAAATATCTGTTCTTGCCTATTGGCCAGCAACTGCCCTGAGTTGGCCCTTCTAATTCCCGTCCACATAACAATCATCGTTAGGGTTATCAGCGCTTACCTAGCAATGACTACATGTAGCCTTCACGAGTTCCATCCTTTCGGAAGAAGAAAAGGAGGCCCAGAGAAGTTAAGGGACTTGCCTGGGGCAGCACATCTGCTCACCATGGAGCCGGCGCTGGAGCCACAGGTCCACAGCCAGATGCTGACTAACACGTCCCAGAGCCTCCCAGTAGCACACAGCTATAATTTGTATACTCACAGAGTTCTGTGCTTTGCTTCTAAGTTTTTGCTGTATAGAAATTAGTTTATATGACATTTCTTCTGGTTCTGACAGAAAGCCAGTAAGTGGAATAGAACACGCTGGTTCACGAGACGCTCAGAAGCCAGGCACAGGAGTAGGGCTGCTGCATTACGAAGGCCTGCTCTGGTCTACACCCCACCCTCTTTCCTCCTTCCTCTCCTGGCACAGCTGTCAATATGGACATGGATGTTTGGCTCCATGAAACACAGGGTGCCTCGCTCAGGGATGTTTTGAGGTCCTAGTTTTCTGCCCACTTACCTGAATTCTTCTCTTTCCTGTTCCCAGAGGTTCAGACTACAGTCTCTATGTACTACACATCTCCTACCCTTCTCACTGTTCTGAGTCAAACACCCTTTCCATACCAATCCTGAATCTGAGTCTTTAGCCCAACTCTGGGGCTGGACCTGCCTGGGAATCCTGTCCACACCCAGCACCACCTTCCATGGACCCTCTGCTCCAGCCCCAAATGAGTCTCAGGTTCCTCTTGCCCTTGCCCGTCTCACACTTGTGCTGCGCTCCTTGCCTGGGCAACCTGCCTCTTGTAACATCTCCCCAGACTCTGCCATCGTTTAGGTTTGCTAAATCCTGCCTCCTCCACAAGCCGCCACCAGCCTAGCTTCTCCTATCACTCAGCTCCTGGAACATTTGCCTCTTTTCCCCTCCTTCATTACTAGGGATTGAACCCAGGGCTACTGAACTACACCTTCAGCCCTTTTTCTTTTTTGGAGATAGAGTCTAAGTTGCTAAGTTACCTAGGCTGGGCTCAAATTTTCCATCTTCCTGCCTCAGGTTCCTAGAGGGCTGGGATTATGCCATGCCTGGATACCATTTACTTTTGATGCAACTGAGACCTCATCATTCACTGCCAGCGACAGCTCTTTACCTAACAGTGTACATTCTGAGCACCAGCTTTTATGTCTCATCTTTATTTGCCTAGCCAAGCTGGGCACCGTCATGTTGCTTGCACCCTGCCACCTTGAGGAGGCCCTGACCCACCTGAGGAGGTTTCCCCTGGGCAAGCTCTGCTCTCGGGCCTGGACGCTGCCCACGGTGAGGCTCAGCCTCTTGGCCAGGTCTGGCCTTCCCTCAGCGAGGGTGGTCTCCTGTGCCCGGCCTGGGGAGGTGCTGTAACACTCTTCCAGGTACCGCAGGGGCACGGTCCTGTTGATGGGCTGGAAGATGATGGCGCCACTCTGCTGGGAGATGGGCCGGCGGTTGCCCACGTAGCAGCGCACCAGGCCCGGGATGGAGTCGAAGCTCTCCGTCTCAAACTGGTACTGCACACGGCTGTAGGCCTCGCTGAGCCGCAGAACTGTGCGATGGATCTTGAAGTGCTGAGCGAGGTTCTTCCACTGACAGGTCAGGACAAAGTTTCCAGGGCTGGACAGAGAGTCGCGAACCAGGAAGTCACCATCACGCTGCATGAGGTTTTCCGACACCTACAGACAAGTGATGAGTGAGGAAGAGCAGGAAAGGCAAACGCAGGACATTTCAGGCGCTTCTAGATCAACAGAAGACAGTGCTACGTTTTCACTTCCTCAGTCGGCTCTTACACTTGTCAATGTCAAATTGGAGAGCTATTTACTGATCCTTTTCTGTGTGCCTAGAACAAAGTCAGGCTGGGGTCCCTCATCTCAAAGTTTTTGTGAAGAGTGTATGTTTGCATGTGTAACATATGCAAGCATAAGTGCACTGCCTTATGGAACACAGTGGAAACTCAAAAATCATTAAATATGATGATGATGATCATGCTTATGCTTATAGCAAAAGGTAAAAGCTTTATGTAGCCTGGTTTTTCTGTAGCCCAACATCCTGGATTCACATTGTGTTTCAGCTGTGGGACTGGACAACTTCCATATCTTTATGGTTCAGTTCCCTCATCTATAAAATGGGGGTAATATTATTACCTATAGAGTGATTTACAAAGATTCAAAGGGATGAAGTGTTGGCTTATAACCATTATTATTCTTGTTACCGTGTTCAGTTATCCAGTCTGGCATGATACATCACTGAAAATTCACAGTCATAGCAAACGGCAAACAGATTTCATGACCATAATAAGGAGAAGGATCAGTTTATACCAGTTTAATAAACTCGGAAAAATTCTCTGGGATATTCCAACATTCAATTGATGGTATATTTATGTTAGCTTAGATTAGTACGCTACCATGACTACCTTAAAATTATATCTTTGCTTTAAAAATGTGTTTTCACACAAAAACTCTATCCCTTAGGATTGAGCCTGTGGAAATAATTATAGGTATAAACATAGTATTTATCTTAAAGGTTTTTGGTCAGAGTGTTAGGAACACTCTATGTGTCCAATAAATTGTCGTATGTGTGTACAACAGATGTGCACACAGTAGAGTCTGGTACAACACAGTATTTGTTATAGCAGGTGAGAACTCTCAGGACTCAGCATGAAGGGGAGAAAGTGGACTGCAGAAGGTGTAAGCAGTACCATCTGCTTGACGGAAAAACTCTGGAAGCATAAATATCAAAATTTTCATAGTGGTTATCTTTAGGAGAAACAACTACAAATGAGAGTTTAACTTTCTTCATTTTGTTATCTAGATTTTCTTCAATCAATTATAAGCCTTAAAAAAGTCAGAATAAGAATTATTTCTTTGATAGAGCTGAGAACTCTGCTACACTAAAAAAATAATTTATCACATGATACCCTCCCTTCTGCCCCATCTACTCATTTCCCGTCATGTTGTCCTTGGTTAATGACTGGCTAGATCAGATTTACAATAAAAACCCGAGGGACATTCTATACCTCAATTCTGCACACTTAAGGGTCTATTTTTCAATTTTTATATTATTAAATAAAAACATGATTCACGGCAGTCAGCGAAATGACAATCACACAAAGTATCTTCTAAACCACAAGTCTGTGGTCACTGGTATAATTTCTCTTTTTCTCCATCTCTGGGTTGTCATGTGATCGGGTAAGGAAGGGATGGAGAGAGTGATTAATTGCTGGCCCTGGTACGACAGAGGTGGCCTTGTCAGCCTATGCCACCTGCCCTATTACCTTAAAAAAGAGGCCATTTCCAAGTGGCAGGAGGCAGTTGTGGCAACTGGCCAAGAGCTCAATTATGTGAACCACAGCCCAACCGCGGACTTCCTCAGGTTACTGGCTCTGTGGCTATGGCCTCCTGCTGAATGTGTCTGCAGACCTCAGGACACCGGAGTTTCCTGCATCCGCCTACTTGGGCATGTCGAACTGCACTCTGGGTTCCTGACATTCACTATTCCCAAGGTGTCCTTGGAGTGGGTCTGAGTCACTTTATAGTGTTGACTTTTGGCCACTCAGAGGCTCACTCCCATGGGACCTTGGAACAGGGGCCTGTAGAACCGACACGGCCAGAGGACGGCCAGGTGTGCTGTATAGGGAAACAGGTACCTGTCGGGGGATGCGGCCATGGTACCAGGCATGGCTGCGCAGGTCCTCACTGCTCAGCAGCAGCTCTTCCTCCAGCTCCTTCTTCAGCCTGTCAGGGGTCCTGTCCATGATGTGCCTCTCCTTGGAGAACTGCAACACAGAGTCTACAGTGACCTCACCCTGGAGACTTGCGTTCACCTTGCTGAGCTAAGCCAATCAGGTGTGCACACGGCTGTGCTCAGATAGCAACACCTGCATCAAGACTACAGGTGGTAGGAATGGGATTTAGCTCACTGGCGCCATGCCTGCCACACAAGTGCAAGGTCCCGAGTTCAAGCTCCGGTACCAATTAAAAAAAAAAAGATTGCAGGTGGCTGGACGTTGTCCTCCTCCAGGTGTGAGTACACGATGACATTTTCAACTGGAACATGGGCTATGGTAGGAAAGTCTATTCAACAGTGAACTGGGGAGGGGGGACCAGAGAGTTGTAGCTGTAGGGAACTCTGAGGGACAGCTAGGCCAGGGCAGCTCTTCATTCTTCTCCTGAATCACCTTAACAGGGAACAGGAAGGGAAGGACAGTAGTTCCTGATTGGCTGTGGTCCCTGGTTCTGGGCAGTGAGGTCTGAAGTGCAGTCTTTGGAATTAGTACCCATGGCCCTGAATTGCCCTCCAGGCAAACTCAAGTTCAAGAATTAGAACTTGTAATGCATTTAAGGTAACTTTATATTTCTTGAATCAATAATAGAAGTTTTGGTTTATATGTTGTATAACTTTAATTTCTTTAATACACTATTTTATTTTCATGATTGACTGGAAATAGAAACTTAAAACAAAACACTGGTGCTTTGCCTCAGATGGTCTGAGGGCACTGCACAACAGCTGTGGCAGAGGGCAGTGGGTGGGTGACACTGTCTCCCAGGTTCATTTAGAACCACACCCACTTAAATGTGTGGCCTGAACTTGAACATGAGTCTGGTTCCCAGTGAAACCAGGCTTGAACCACCCACTGAAGGTCTCCTGAGAAGGGAAAGGTCCTGTCCCTGTGTCTTCCCAAGTTCCCCAGCTTGCCCTACAAATGTCCATTGGAGGTATAAAATGATTCCTCACCTTACTGCTTTTTGCCTCTCCTAGGAGAGAGCCCCAAATCCTTCACCAAGAAATAGAAAAACAGACTTGGGACTTTCTGGTCTGCCGTTTATTTACCCTCTAGTCTTTTTGTGCCTGTGGCCCTCAAGGGGTGATGGCCTTGGCTGATTCAGGGTGAGGCTCTCTGTTCCCTTCTGCCCCTCTTCTTCCCAGCCCTCCCACTCTGGGCAGGAGGTGGGAGGCTGAGGAGTGGGATTTGTATCAAAGAGATGTCCGTGAGGCCTAGGCCGCACACAGTGATGCCTGACACGTCAGCTACTGTCATTAATGATTACAGCCGCACCTGAAGATGGGAGCAGACAAGGCAGGCTGTCAACTGATGCCACTTATAGCGTGTCTTGACTCCCACTAAGCTGTCAGCTTCCCGAGTACAGAACCCATCTACCTCTTCCCCGCATCGCCCTAAAGCAGCACCTGAACACAGCAGGCACTCAGTAGTCACTGCAGGAATATATCCCACCGCGAGGAGCTTCCGTGACTTTTCTCAGATTATCTGACTCCCTCATGCCATTCAGCCGAAACACGACCTTCTTCAATCTTTCAGAGGAAGACGTAGTCACATGACTGTCACCACGGAGGGGTAAACTGAAGGGTTGGGATTTCCAAGGTGAGATTTGATGGCTGGAACCTCAATGCCTCCCCGGACCAAGAGAAGGAAGGCACAGCCTAGGAATGGCAGTGCAGAAGGCTCAAAGGAAGCTGGACCATGACTACAGAGGGGCCAACCCAGGCCTTCCGTGTGCTCTGCCTTCGTGAAACCTCTTATTTTGGATGTTCCCAGCAAAGTGGCTGCACTACACCCTACCCAATATGTGAGCCACACTCTGCGTTAGCCACACTGACAGGCAGTCTGTACACCTTGCTGAAGTCCCTTGTGTTACACCCTGGGCCCACTTCTGGTCTAAGCTCTGGAAATGCAGAGATCTAAACATACTGCAGGTCTTACACAATCCTTCACTGAAATTTAATTTGTTCATACCCAAAAGTGATTCCCCTGCTTATCCTTGCATTCTTCTTCCCTTTGCCCCAATATCCAGAGTCCTTCTCCCCTCTGCTGCTCCTTTCTCAGCAGTAGTTACAACAGTATGGCTTTTTTTAAAAAAGCACTTTAGTGGAAGATAAATAGGAAATGGGAAGAGGTTCAGATGGTTCCCCAAATTGCCTATAGTGCTGCTTCAAAAATATTTTTATTTATATGCTAATTTGTTTCATTTACACTACTAGATTCTCTTGGATCATTGAAAAGAAAGTTTTGTGCTGGGTCAGGGATTTAGCCAAGTGGTGCCTGACAAGCACAAGGTCCTGAGTTGGATCCCCGGTACCAAAAAAAAAAAGAAGAGAAGCATCTGTCTCCTTTTTGTAAGAATATTTTTGTACTTTGAGTAACTACTTTGAAGATAACATGCACAGTATATTAATTATTATTCTCATGATTTTGTATTGAAATTGTCTTCTTGTTTCATGAAAAAGCATTTTATATTACTAGCCATTAGAGAAATGCAAATTAAAACAACACTGAGATACCATCTTACTATATAAAGAGTGGTTACAGCAAGAAGTCAGATAACGAATGCTGGTGAGGCTACAGGGAGAAAAGAAACTCTTCTACACTATTGGTGGCTATGTAAACTAGTACAACCACTGTGGAGACAAGTATGGAAATTTCTCAAGAATCTAACACTGGAAATTCCATTTGACCCAGCTATTCCCCTTCTAGGAATCTTCCCAAGAGAGTTAAAGTCATCATATTAGTAATACATGCATATGTGTGTTTATAGCAACGTAATTTAAAATAGGTAAATCTTAGCCAGGCATGGTGGCTCACGCCTGTAATCCTAGCACTTGGGAGGCTGAGGCAGGAGGATCACTGAGTTTCAGACCAGCCTGGGCTACATAGTGAGTTCCAGGTCAGTCTCAACTACATAGTGAGACCCTGCCTCAAAAAAATAAAGTAAGTAAGTAAGTAAGTAAGTAAGTAAGTAAGTAAAATAGGTAAATCTTGGAAACAGCCTGTATGTCCATCCACAAATGAATGAATAAGAAAATGTAGGATTTATATATAGAGGAGCACTATTCTACCATAAAGAAGGATACAACTGAGGAATCTGTGGGTAAATGGATGCACCTTGAGACCATAAAGTAAAATAAATTCAACGCACAAGTTTAAATACCACATGGTTTCTCTTTCATGAGAAACTGAAATCATAAAGAGCAAAATAAATGGTAGATAGTAGGAAATAGGTAGATCATTTCAAATGGGACAAGGGACAAGAGGTGGAGGGAGATGGGAAGGAAGGAAAGGAAAAGAGATTAAAAGACGATGAAAACATCGAAATAGAGCTTTTTCAAAAGGGAAGAGGACGAAGAGTTGGAGGGAACAGAGAGCGGGAGGGGGGGGAGATAAGGACAAAGAGAGAATTGAGCTGTGTTATGTACACGTATCAACTCCCCACAATGAATGTAATGACTGTTCACTGCAAACGCATACTAAAAAAGAAATTTAAATCATGTTGGAGTTGGACACGGTGATACATACCTGTAATCTCAACACTACATGAGGCTGACGTGGGAGGGCTTAGCTGTGACAACACAGGGCCTAGTGAGACCTGGTCTCAAAAAGGAGGGCGGGATGTGGCTCAGGGTGAAGGTTCTGGATTTAATCCCTAGTACCTATTTTTAAAGATATTTTATATTCAATAGTTTTTGATTCTAGGCTTTGAGATCATACTGTTTTATATTTGTTACCAAAAATATAAAATCAGCTAGCTCTCTTGTTACACCTGTCCTAACTACTGCTCTTTGACCATCCCCACTGATTCTGGAGAGAGGGTGCTATAAGGTGCTACAGGAGATGGGATGGCAGGATCAGACTTATAGAGGAGGAAAAGGAAATGATTGGGATTGATCCTTCCAAAACAAAAAGCATGCCTTTATGCATGTGCGTAACTTGTGAAAGGTTAGGAGGTTGATTACACAATTGCTTAGACTTGCATTTTAAAAGGGAAGGGGTGGAGAGAGAGAGAGGCATTTAGGGGAGGTTGGTCCAGAGTGAGCAAGTAATTACAAAGGGCTTTTCATTTTGAGCCAGTAAGGACTGGTTTCAATACCTTAGGAAGAGCAAGTTTGCTGGTGGGAGCCTCCACCTAGGCCACTGCCAGAGGGCAGCGAACAAAGCACTTGGAAAAAGGAAGGAATGCCAGAGTGGTCACCTCCCTCTCCCTGCTACTCAAGATGATGCAGTGATTATTTGCAGAGGGTGGCTGCCTGCAGAACTTTCACTTACAGTTTTAATCTCATACATTAATGCAACTTTTATTATTTTCCCAACTGCCTATGTTTTATGAGATCTTGATCTTGCCAACTATGATCCTACCATGAAATGTAAGCATTCTGATGGGCTGTAAACCTCCCACGTCTGGTGAGGTGTGAGCTTAAGTTTTGGCAAAGTGTATCTCTTTATGCTTTGAGAGCTTTATGAATGTTATTTGTGCTCCCTAGGAGCCAGAGATGAGATCTGGCTTCCTAAGACTGATCCCAGGTCTCTGTGATATTTGACAAGAATTTTGTTGGCTTCCCCAAAACCACCTGAGTTCTTGGTGACAGTGTGTCCTTCCACTTCTCTGGCGCCCCATGCAGAAATTTTCCCCTAAAGTGCAACCATTTCATCCATGGTGTAGGCAAGTTTTATGGTCTTGGCTACAAAGCAAATTCTATCAATCTAAGGCAACACAATACCTTAGCTTTCAGGAAAGGCTTCAGACCATTTGTGTGGCCATCGGGGGTCTCTCATTAATGTATACTCTAGGAATCCTCTTGTCATCCCTTGGACTACAATTCTCAGAAGGTTAGAAGAGGTGAGTACTTACATAATATTTACATACATTGCCATTATTTGCATAGCCCAAAATTAAACATGAAATGAAACAGAGTAAGGTGTCAGGCCCCAGCATCCCAACACAAAATCTTGGGAAAATTAAGAGGATTTAAGCACATCACTGAAAC